TATATTATATTATATTACATTACATTACATTATATATTATGCTATACTATATTAGATATTCTACTACTGATCATACTATATTATATTATGCTGTTATATATACTATTATATACTATAGTGATCATACTATATTTATATTATATTATATTACATTACATTACATTATATATTATGCTATACTATATTAGATATTCTACTATTGATCATACTACATTAATATATATTATATTACATATTATATTATATATTGTGCTATATTATATATTATACTATTATATACTATATTGATCATACTATATATATGATGATATATCTCGTTCTCTCTCTCTGCTAGGCTGCATGTGGTCAATCTGTGGGATCCACGACCAAGGATGGGCTGAACGGGCCGTCTTTGGCAAAATCCGCTACATGAATTATGCCGGTTGCAAGAGGAAGTTTGATGTTGCCCAGTTTGAGCGCAAATATAGTCCTCAACGCTTCCCCCAGTAGCCTTGCTAGAAGGCCACCCTCCACGCTGGCGGACACCTGCTTCTCTCCTTGTTGTAAAGGACAAGAGCAATAAAGACACTCACTGTTGCAGAGGAAACGCAAGCTTGATCTACAGGCTAGAAACCAGGAGATGGGGAGTTCTAGTTCCACCTTAGGTATAAAAGCTGACTGGGTGACTTTGGGCCAATCACCAGGAGACGGTGAGTTCTAGTCCCGCCTTAGGCATGAAAGCCGGCTGGGTGACTTTGGGCCAATCACCAGGAGACGGTGAGTTCTAGTCCCACCTTAGGCATGGAAGCTGACTGGGTGACTTTGGGCCAATCTTTCCAGAGTCTCAACATCTTTTTTATATCGTGGTGACCAAAACTGGATACCTTATTCCAAATGTGGCCTTACCAAGGCCTTGTAAAGTGGTATTAACGCTTCACCTGATCTTGATTCTATCCCTCCGTTGATGCAGCCCAGCACTGTGTTGGCTTTTTGGGCAGCTGCAGCACACGGCTGGCTCCTATTGAAGTGATTGTCCACTAGGACTCTGAGGTCTCTCTCACAGTTACTACTATTGAGCAAGGCACCCCCTATACTATACCTGTACATTTGGTTTTTCTTGCCTAAATGTAGAGCCTTACTTTTTTCACCACTGAATTTCATTTTGTTAGATGGCACTCAATGTTCAAATCCTGTCCAGATCCTCCTGTATCTTAAACCTGTCTTCTGGAGTGTTGGCTATTCCTGCCAGCTTACAAACGGTTGTAAGTCAAGAACTACATCATTTGGGAGGGACCGGTAACAGTGACCAATCCACCAAGCATTTCCCGTGAATTTATTGTGTGAAGCACTCCACCAACATACCAGAGATGCAGCCTGAGTATTATTATTAGTTTTATTACTGATGACATTTCCATGGTTACACTTTACTGGAATAACGGATGGATTTCCAGGTTCAACCATGTTCCTCTTAATTTTTACAAAGAGTATTCCGCTCAATACAGGTAGGAAACAGGGTTTTTGTGGGGTGGTTTGTTTTTTTTTGCCAAATGGGCATTAAATCAACAGCTCCAACAGTTCTGAGCACCATTTAGCATCCTAAATCCCTTTTTTGTGCATCTTTTGGTACTTTCTGATATTTCTAAAGTGAACCCTTTAGAATCCACCCCCTCCTTGCTGGTTTTTGTAAAAACTGAATCAGTGCTTTTTAGAAAAAAATGGCTTTGCTAGTAAAAGGGAAATAAACGTTCTGGACTCTCCATTAATCTTCAAATATTTGCTTGAAGCAGCACAGTGGAAGGAACCTGGTTAAAAAAACAACACGCAGTGTGCATTTGTGTGTTTTGTTCCAAGTACGTTAAAAAGAAGTGTGCGGGGAGCCAGGTTTTTGAAGGGGGGGAAATAGGAGCAAGGCAAACATAAATATCCTTACTATAAATGTAGTCATCGGGGCGAGATTGGGACTCTCTCGGTTAAAATTATTCGGATTAACGACGTTGAGGTTAAACTGGTGTTCCGCATAGCTCGGCTGCAAAACTACGAAAGGGGAAAGAGTTTTTCCAGGAAAAAAATGGCTGTGTGCAAATTTGGTTGAAGATTTGATTAGGGGGAGATGAGGGATGTTAAACCAGAATGGATGTGGAGCAAAAGGGATCAAAATAAATTGTTTTTTTGAGTTTTCCATTTATTTTTTCAATTTTTGATCACTGGCTATTCTAGGTTCTAGAACAGGGGTCTTCAGACTTGGCCCTTTTATGACTTGTGGACTTCAATTCCCAGAATTCCTCAGCCAGTGTGCCTGGCTGAGGAATTCTGGGAGTTGAAGTCCAGGGGTCTTCAAACTTGGCCCTTTTATGACTTGTGGACTTCAATTCCCAGAATTCCTCAGCCTGTGTGCCTGGCTAAGGAATTCTGGGAGTTGAAGTCCAGGGGTCTTCAAACTTGGCCCTTTTATGACTTGTGGACTTCAACTCCCAGCTGGCTGGGGAATTCTGGGAGTTGACGTCCACGCATCTTCAACCGACCAAGGGTCGAGAGACGCTGTTCTGGAACGTTCTTGCCGAAGCCCTGTAGAGTTTGCACACGAGAGGGCTCCCTTCCCAGAAGACAACCTAAGGGAACCATCCTCCAGAGATTCTTGAAGCTGCAAAGGAGATGCCTTGTTGCCAATACTGATAGATTAATTTCATTTTCCCCCCCTTTGCTGCTGCTATCGTTCAGATAGCCTGGCTGGGACGTCAGCGCTGCCCGTCTGGGAGCTGAAATCCTAAAACCACTTCTTTCCATTTTTTTTGTGCCCGTCCGGGAGCTGAAATCCTAAAACCACCTTTTTCAAAAAATTTTTGTATTGCCTAACTGATCGAGCACACACTTTCTGGAATTTGGAATGAGTTGTACGTTGCTTTCCTGTTTTTTTAAGTGTCTAGGATCAAATAGGAGCTGGGGGAATGGGGGGGGGATTTAAGCCTCAGAGGAAAGCAGCCGTAAAGCTTGTGATCTTGGGATTTAAAAAATGGTTTCTTCCTTTAAGCCGTGTCAGGCCTCCGAGCCTGGCTCTCTTCCTCCAGCTGTGGGGGGCTTCGAGACCCCCGATCCAGTGGCCCACGATGGCTTAGGATAGGGGCTGCAGCCTGAAACAGCTGAAGGAATGGGAGCTATTGTAGAGAATTTTTCCTGTTAGGAAATATATATATATATATTTTCCTCTCGTTGGAACATCGTCCAGTTTGCAAGTCAACCGACATTATTCCTCTTATGGGAGATCTTTCAGACAAACGGAGAAAAGAAAAACGACTTGTGAGTTTGTGGGTCTGTGTGTTCTCACGCACAGATCCTTTTAAGGAGCTTGAGAAGGCTTTGGTTTTTTTTAATCCTTTCAGCCCCGCTCAAATCCATCTTTGCCATCCTGGCTATTCCACTCCCTTTCCCCACTAACTTTCTCCCAAGATTGAAAAAGGGACAGGCCTAATACTTTGTATTCCCCCCCCCTCCTTTTTCCTGGCTCCTTTGCGAAATCGTACAAAACGGGAGCGAGGTTTCGCAAAGAAAAATAAAGAGAATTGAGGGCGAGGATTGGGTGGTCCGAAAAAAATATATTAAAAATTTAAAAGACCAAAATGAAAAACAAAAAACCCCAACACAGCAACCGATAACGGCCAGTCAAACAGGACAGAAGGCTTTTCTCTTTTACGAGCGCGGTCGGATCCTGTCGGGGGAACTCGGCCTCTGGAAAAAGCCCGTCATCGGCTTCTCCCCGTGGATGGAGCAAAGTCCTGGGTTCTAGACGGGGCGCGCCCCAAGCCGTCGCACTCTGCCTTTCGGTAGAAAGAAGCATCCGTCTTCGTTGTGCCTCTGAGTTGGCGCCAGACGTCGGCTCTAGTCCAGGCAGGAAAGAGATTTCTCCGGGCCGAGTTGCGAAACCCCTCCGTGGCGCTGGCTTCGGAGTGTCTGTGTGGAGGGAGAGCGTCCGGCTTCGTCCGTCGGTCAGTCTGGTGTTCGGAGGGCACAGGCCGGACGGCGACCTGCGGATTCTCGGCCGTCACGTGGCTGCTCCTACCGTGTCCTCCTCCAGCTCGTAATCCGAGAGATCGGCTTCCAGACTTTGCTTGGCTAGGAGATCCCGCCGCACTTGAAGCCGGGCACATCTGGGGCAGGGTCCTGACTGGAAGCAGCCCTTATGGTAGCAAGCTCTGCACTCTGCGGGGAGGGAGGGTGGTGGTGGAGAAAAAAAGAAGGAATCAAAGAGGAGCCGAAGGAGGCGTGGAGAGCATCGGAGCTTCTAACAATCCGCCTTTTTTTGCTCCATTGTGGTTGTTAAGTCAGGGACTACGTGTAAGAGATTTTTTTTTTTTGCTGTTGGGCTAACAGAATAGTAGAGCTGGAAGGGACCTTGGAGGTCTTCTAGTCCAACCTCCTCCTCAAGCGGGAGACCCTCCCAGACTTCCAGCATTCGTGAACGGATTGTCAGAAATTGTAGCCTTCATGTAAGGGAGCTTTGGCTGGTAGCGATCTATGTATAAATTGTCCAGGGTGGAAAATCGGACAGTTGTGTTGAAGACCGCCAACCGAGGGTTGTGTACCCTCCTCGTTCGACGCCGTGTGAAACAATTTTGGAATATGGGGATGTTTGGTCTTTCTTAGGCCCCAAATAAAGTCTTGACTTAAACATAAAAGGTGTTAGGGCCGGGGTCTTCCAACTTGGCCCTTTGATGACTTGTGGACTTCAACTCCCAGAATTCCTCAGCCAGGCACGCGTGCCTGGCTGAGGAATTCTGGGAGTTGAATCCGCGAGTCATGAAGGGGCCATAGTTCCCCCATGCTGGCTGAGGAATTCTGGGAGTTTAAGTCCACGAGTCATGAAGGGGCCATAGTTCCCCTACGCTGGCTCAGGAATTCTGGGAGTTGAAGTCCACAAGTCATCAAAGGGCCAAGTTGGAAGACCCCTGTCTTAAATCTAACAAACAAAATGGAGGCTGGCTGAGGAATTCTGGGAGTTGAAGTCCACAAGTCATCAAAGGGCCAGGTTTGAAGACCCCCTGTGTTAGGGGATTAGCCCTCCTGTTTGATCGCTTACCTTCACACGTTTTGCATTTGCTCAGTTCAAAGGGAAACAGGATGTCGTCCTCATTCTGGCAGAATTCACAGATGAAGCCCTTCGCTTGGCACAGCTGGGGGAGAAGATAAAAAAAATGTGGACTAACGCAACGCAACAATCCCACCGCTTTGGTTTCACTCAGCCCTTCGAGAGGGAGATTCCAGGACTTCCAGGAAGGAAGGAAGGAAGGAAGGAAGGAAGGAAGGGAGGGAGGGAGGGAGGGAGGGAGGAAGAAAGAAAGAAAGAATTGGAGAGGGAGGGAAGGAAGGAAGGAATTAAGGGCAATATCACTTAGGCTTATACCCCACTTCACAATGATTTACAGCCCGCTCTGAGCAGGTTACAGAGTCAGCCTATTGCCCCCTCCCAAACAATCTGGATCCTCATATTACCGACCTCGGAAGGACGGAAGGCTGAGTCAACCATGAGCTGGTCAGGATCGAACTCCTGGCTGTGGGCAGTGAATTAGCCTGCAATGCTGCATTTTAACCACTGTGGCACCATGGAAGGAAGGAAGGAAGGGAGGGAGGGAGGGAGGGAAAGGAAAGGAAAGGAAGAAAGAAAGAAAGGAAGAAAAAGAAAGAAAAAGGGAGGGAGGGAGAGAGAGAGAGAGAGATGGAAGGAGGGAAGAGAGGAGACAGAAATAAGAGGAAGGGCGGGAGGGGAGCAGAGGAGGGAGGGAGGGAGGGAGAGGAGGCAGAAATGAGGAAGGAGGGAGGGAGAGGAGACCGAAATTAGAGGAAGAACGAGGGAGGGAGAAAGGAAGAAAAGGGGGAGAGGAGAAGAGACAGAAATGAGAGGAAGGGAAGGAAAGAGGGAGGGAGGGAAGGAAGGTGGGAAGGAGATGGAAATGAGCAAGCAAAACCTTCGGTTCCCTCCCCCAATAGCTTCTTCCAGGAAAGAAAGTTCCTAATCCTGCCTGTAGGAGGGAGTCTAAGGCCGCGTTTTTCAACTACGACAACTTTCCAAGCATGTCAATTTCAGAAGGGAAGGAAAGAAGGAAGGAAGGAAGGAAGAAAAGAAAGAAAGAGAGAGAGAGAAAGAAAGAAAGAAAGAAAGAAAGAAAGAAAGAAAGAAAGAAAGAAAGAAAGAAAGAAAGAAAGAAAGAAAGAAAGAAAGAAAAAGAAGGAAGGAAGGAAGGAAGGAAGGAAGGAATGGGGTCCCCGCACTCACCATGCATTTCTCGACGTGCAGTTCTCCCACCCGGAGGAGCTCGGTCAAGCGGGGAACCAGGTCCCCCTTCTTGATGGCGCTCAGGTCATTTAAGGAATAAAGGTGAAGGTCCTCGGTCAGGTGACCCGGCACCGCATCAAAGGCATCCAGAAGCCTGAAGGGAAAGAGCAGCCAGGCGGTCAGCAGTGGGACAACAGGGTCTCTCCCTCCTCTCCGGAAAAGCCCTGCCCAATTCCCCATTTTGATTGTCAAGAGATTAACCTGGTTTGCTTCCAACAATTTCCTTTTCAAATGTTGTGGCTCAGACTGTGTGGGGCCCTTGGTGCTCTCTGAGCTTGTTTTTTTTTTCTTTCTTGGAGACGTTTCATGATCTAGCTAGGTAACGTCATCAGTGCTAGAAGGGAGTGGGGTTTGCAGAGAGGATGATGATGGGGTCCTTGGTGCCCTCTGAGCTGGGCTGTTTTCTTGCAGACGTTTCATTGCCCAACGAGGTGACGTCATCAGTGCTAGAAGGGTGTCGGGTTTCTCTTTGTTCGTATACGATATAACCCCTCTCCCTCCTAGCACTGATGATGTTACCTAGTTGGGCAGCGAAATGTCTGAAAGAAAACAACCCAGCTCAGAGAGCACCAAGGACCCCACAATCCTTTTTCTTTCTTTCTTTCTTTTTTTTTCTTTCTTTCTTTCTTCTTTCTTTTTCTTTCTTTCTTTCTTTCTTTCTTTCTTTCTTTCTTTCTTTCTTTCTTTCTTTCTTTCTCTTTCTTTCTTTTTCTTTCTTTTTTCCCTCTCCTCCTCCTCTTCCTCCTCTCCACAAGCCTCCCTCTCTTCTAGCACTGATGATGTTGCCTAGATGGGTCCAACCATCTTAGAGAGCACCAAGGACCCCACAATCCTTTCTTTTTTTTCTTTCTTTCTTTTTCTCTTCTTCTCCTCCTCCTCTTCCTCCTCCTCAAACCCCCTTCCCTTCTAGCACTGATGATGTTGCCTAGTTGGGTCATGAAACGTCTGCAAGAAAACCACCCAGCTCAGAGAGCACCAAGGACCCCACAATCCTTTCTTTTTCTTTTCTTTCTTTTTCTTTCTTTCTTTCTCTTTCTTTCATTCTCTTTTTTTTCTTTCTCTTCTCCTCCTCCTCCTCTTCCTCCTCCTCAAACCATCTCCCTTCGAGCACTGATGATGTTGCCTAGCTGGGTCATGAAACGTCTGCAAGAAAACCACCCAGCTCAGAGAGCACCAAGGACCCCACAATTCTTTCTTTCTTTCTTTCTTTCTTTCTTTCTTTCTTTCTTTCTTTCTTTCTTTCTTTCTTTCTTTCTTTCTTTCTTCCTTCCTTCCTTCCTTCCTTCCTTCTTCCTTCTTTCTTCCTTCTTTCTCTTTCTTTCTTTCTTTCTTTCTTTTTCTCCTCCTCCTCCTCCTCAAATCCCCCTCCCCTCTAGCACTGATGACGTTACCTAATTGGGCAGTGAAACGTCTGCAAGAAAATCACCCAGCTCAGAGAGCACCAAGCACCCCCCAGTTCAGCCCGGAGCTACAAAGATTCTCTTCTACTGGAAATAAAACTATAGATACAGATAGTTCTCGACTTACCATTCATTTATTGACTGGGCAAAATTACAACAGTGCTGGGAAAAAAATGACTTGGGACCGTTTTTCACACTTGGGACCGTTTTAGCATCTCCACGCTCACGTGATCAGAATCTGAACGCTGGGCAACTAGTTCACACTTACGACCGTTGCAGGGCCCCGGGGTCAGGGGATCACCTTGTGCAACCTTGTGACAAGTACAATCCACGGGGAAGGCAGATTCCCTTCGCAACCGTCTTACTAACAGGTGTAGTAGTGATTCACTTAACAATGGTGGCCAGAAGGGTCGTAAAACAGGGCACGACTCGCTTAGAAATGGTCTTGCTTAGCAACAGAAATTTTGGGCTAAATTGTGATCGTACGTCGAGGACTCTTTGTGTTATTTTGATAGTAGCATCCGGACAGACGTAACTGGATTGTAAATCTGGATAAGGATATTAAGCATTTTCCTTTTCCTAATGTTCCTTGCGCATGGATTTTCCCTTTTCTCACAGCTGCCACACACTCGGTCAGCCTCTTCACCGTGGCATCTGCCCTGGCACCAGCTCGCCGCTGCTCACAGCCTACTCCCACTCTACGGTAACGAAGGGGCTCCCCGAAAAAGTTTCCTGGTGTCCTTACCCTTTAGCTAAGCGACAGGTTTTGAACATGTTCTTCATGTGGTACAGCTGGATTCTCAGAAGCTGGAAGAGACCAAGAAGACAGGAGTTCAGGGTAACAGAGTAACAAGGGTTGGAAGGGATCCTGGAGGTCATCTAGTCCAACCCCCTGCTCGAGCAGGAGACCCTATACCAGGGCTAGGCAACCTGGGCTCTTTTATGACTCATGGACTTCAACTCCCAGAATTCCTGAGCCAGCCATGCTGAGGGGAAAGGGAGAGGTTTCCAAGCTGAGCCATGCTGGCTGAGGGATTCTGGGAGTTGAAGTCCACAAGTCATAATGGGGGCCATAGTTCCCCCATGCTGGCTGAGGAATTCTGGGAGTTGAAGTCCGGAAGTCATGAAGGGGCCCTAGTTCCCCCATGCTGGCTCAGGAATTCTGCCCTATACTATTCTGGAGAAATGGCTATCCAATCTCTTCTTGAAAGCCTCCAGGGATGGAGCATCCACAACATCTGTTCTCACTGTAAAGAAATTCCTCCTTAGTTCCAGGTTGCTTCTCTCCTTGATTAGTTTCCATCCGTTGCTTCTTGTCCTGCCTTCAGGGGCTTTGGAGAATAGGTTTCCACGCGAAACCGAAGAGCGAAGGGCTGTCAGTCAGTGGAACAGCCTGCCTCCAGATGTTGTGGGTGCTGCATCATTGGAGGTGTTGAAGAAGAGACTCGTCATTTGTTTAAAAGAGCATAGTGTCAGGATAATAATTTAATAGCTAAACACTTTATGTAAAGATGTAATATAATGTGGATAATGCAATAGGAATGACTCAGCAGGTGTTTGTATCCCTTTAAGAGTCCAAGTATAAAAGGGAAGGTTTTTTGCTGACGTCTTTCTCTCTCATCTGTTTGACTGCTGTCATTGCTGTGTATTGGGAGTTTGCTGAATCGCCACCTGTATGTATTTCATTTCTAGTGTATATTTGTAGATAGCGTGTAATATAAACCACATTTAATTACAAACCACTGTTTACTGTATTTACTCCTGGGTTACCTCAGCGCAGTAAGACTGTGCCTGCTCTGACACCTAGGGTCTCCTGCTTGAGCAGGGGGCTGGACTGGAAGACCTCCAAGGTCCCTTCCCACGCTGTGGTTCTCACCCAAAGCGCGCCGGCAAGGGCCGGATGCCTTACCCTGACTTGGTTGAGCGGCTTGACCTTACGGTAGAGGGCGGCGTTGACGTCCTGCATGTTGAAGAGGGGATCGTTCCAGATCTTGTGCAGCAGGTCCTTGGAGAAGTTGCTGACGTAGTATTTGCCGAAGTCCCACTTGCGGAGGATACGGCTGGGGATGACCATCTGGGCGTTCTCGTGGCAGCACTGGCAGAAGTATTTGCCCAGGTACTCGCAGTAGCGCATCCGCTTGATGTAATCTGAGACGGCCCGTCGGACGAAGGAAAGAGAGGGAAGGGAAAGAGGTTTAAGAGAGGACTGCTCCGCAGGGGGAGCGTTTCGACTCCCGATTGTCCGTGAGCGCTGGGGCCGACGACCGGACCTCGGAACGTTCTAGAATCGAGGCCGAGTTGGACGGAAGGGGTCTGCCCGCCTAAGTGTGACTTTGTTTCTACAGGTAATCCTCAACTTACGACAGTTCATAGCTGACTCAGGAATTCTAGGAGTTGAAGTCCACGAGTCATAAAAGAGCCAAGGTGGCCTACCCCTGGTCTAGGCCAACATTGGGCCTTCAGAACTCTTCCAAGTCACGAACTCACCAAAATCTGTCCTGATCCCGCAGCCGGCACAGCGGTAGTTCTGCTTGGCCACTGCTGCCTTCCTCCTACAGAACAGAAATTCGGGACATTAAAGGAGACAAAAAACCTCACATCCCCAATTCACTTCTCAGCTTTGAAGAGGTGAAAGTCTCCATCAATGGATGTTGTTAGCCGGGGATGGGGGAAAGTTTGAGGGCATCGTCCTCAGAGAAAACCAATTTCTCAGGTGTCCCCTCAGCCATCTTAGATCAGAGTCCCCCAAACTTTCCGGGTTGGGGTCTCGGAGGAGGGGGGAAGGGAGGGGAGAAAGAGAAGATGGTTTTGTGGGAGGGCCACAACTGTCACACTTTCTGCTGCTTTGAGCAAAACCTATTTAGGATAGTCTCTTGGGGGGTCATACACGTACAGCAGTGGCCAAAATTGTGGAAACCTTTTGGGGAAAAGTGTCCAGTAGAAATGCCACCTTTGGTTAAGTTTCCACCCATTTTTCTTCTCATTTCTTTATAACTGTAGCCTTGTTCACTTAATAAATACTATTTTACATCGCTTTCTGGGCAACCAGTCAACTCTTTGCACCATCGCTTTAATTTTATGATGTTTTACAAGCTCACTCAATGAAAGAGCACAAAAAAACCCAACCAACTTGATAGCGGATCACATAACACACCGACCAATGTCCTCCTCTCAGCTTCAATACATGAGATCAATCACTGGATCCTACTGTGATCTGATTGGCTCATGGCCAAAACAAGACGACACCCGATTGGCTCTCTAAACACTCATGCTCATTGGCTACCATCAGATGAAGGAAAGCTGCCTGAGATCAACCTGAGCAAGTGGTGCTTCCTTTTTCTGGTTATTTGGCTATAACTTTTCATAGAACACAGTACAGATAATTGAACAAACTTGGTTAAATTATCTTTACGTTCTTGGTTAAATTATCTTTCCATGGATATATAATTTTATGGTACTGCTCCCCCCCAAAAAAGAGGTGTTATTAGCCATCAGACCTCAAAATTACACTTGTCCCAAAAGGTTTCCACAATTTTGGCCACTGCTGTACATACAAACACACACACACACACACACAAAACACCGCGGATCGTAAACGGCCCTCCTTACGTCGGTGCCGGGTGGATGTTGAAGATGATCTGCGGGCGTGGGGGGGCCCACTCCAGGTTCCCCCGCACCCGGATGCGGAGCTTGTAAATATCAGCGTGTTCTCCGTCGTCCGGGGAGATGGGCACGGAATCGGGAATCGGCAATAGCTGTAAAAAGGAAGTAAATCCAGTGCACGCCATGAACAATGCCGCTGTTCTCTTTGGTTGTGGCCTGCTTTTAATGAGGGAGGTGACACGATAGCCGCGTTCCAATATTTGAGGGGCTGCCCCAAAGAAGAGGGAGTCAAGCTCTTCTCCAAAGCGCCTGAAGGCAGGACAAGAAGCAACGGATGGGAACTGATCAAGGAGAAAAGCAACCTGGAACTAAGGAGAAACTTCCTGACAGTGAGCACAATTAACCAGTGGAACAGCTTGCCACCAGACGTTGTGGGTGCTCCATCACTGGAGGTTTTTAAGAAGAGATTGAAAAGCTATTTCTCTGGAATGGGATATAGGGTCTCCTGCTTGAGCAGGGGGTTGGACTAGAAGACCTCCAAGGTCCCTTCCAGGTCTATTCTGATTGATTGATTGATCGATATATTCTGTGTATGGCATCTACAGACTGACATACGACATGAATAGAAGGAAGTTTGAGCAGGGGGTTGGACTAGAAGACCTCCAAGGCCCCTTCCAACTCTGTTCTCCTGTTATTTTCCAACTTTCTACCCTTCAGGTACGTTACCTTTTGAGGCCAACATTTATTTGGTGTTTTTTTTTACAAAAATTATTAGTGGACTCTAGCCAGTGTGCTCTAACTGGAAATCCAGCCCAATCTGTGGCAAGGTTAAAGAATACTGCTTTGCAGCAGGAATGGTTTAAATTCATCCCTTCCCTGACTTAAAAAGCATCTTTCTCCTTGCCGGCATCTCCTGATGAAATATAAGTTTAATTGGTTTGACACCTAACTTAAGAATTATTCTATGTCTGGTAAAATTCATTAGCCTGGAGATTAATACATTCTTGCGATAGACCAGTGTTTCTCAAACTTGACCACTTGGAAGGTGGGTGGGCTTCAACTGCCAGAATTCCCCAGCCCACCTTGGGGAATGCTGGGAGCTGAAGTCCTCACACTTTCAAGGGACCAAGGTCCGGAAACATTGCAATAGATAATAATAATAATAATAATAATAATAATAATAATAATAATAATAATAATAATAACAACAACAACAACAACAACAACAACAACAACAACAATGACAATAATAATAACAATAATAGTTGGAAGGGACCTTGGAGGTCATCTAGTCCAACCCCCTGCTCAGGCAGGAAATCCTATACCATTTCAGAAAAATGGCTGTCCAGTCTCTTCTTAAAAACTTCCAGTTTTTATATAGTGCTCACAAAAAAACACAAAAAAAGTTTTTGGACTGTCTCCATAAGGCTGGGTGAAAATTACTGTATTTCTAAAAACGTATTTACTTTTGGGGGAGATTTTTTAGAAGGGAATAAGCGGCAAAATTAAAAGGAATTTTTTGACGCGTTGCCTTTTGGAAATTATCGAAAGCCGTATTAATACAGGTAGATCTTGACTTACAAAGTGGGTTTAGAGTGACTGTTTGAAGTTACACAATGGCCCTGAAAAAGGTGACTTTTTTCTCACACTTACGGACGTTGCAGCCTCCCCGTGGTCACCAATATTCAGCCCCTTGGCAACTGACTCATATTTATGAGGGTTGCAATGTCCTGGGATCCTGTGATCTCCTTTTGCGACCTTCCTCACAAGTCAGGTCAATGGGGACACCGGATTCATTTAACTTCCTGACAGTGAGAACAATTAACCAGTGGAACTGCTTGCCACCAGAAGCAGTGAATGCTCCAACACTGGAGGTTTTTAAGAAGAGACTGGACAGCCATTTGTCTGAAATGGTATAGGGTTTCCTGCCTGAGCAGGGGGTTGGACTAGATGATCTCCAAGGTCCCTTCCAACTTTATTATTATTATTATTATTATTATTATTATTATTATTATTATTATTACTACTACTACTACTACTATTAACAACTGTAGTGATTCACTCAAAGGAAAGCAGCGTTGTAGAGGGAAAAGCTGAAAACACAAGAACTATCAGTTGCAGCTACGACCTATTTGCAAAGCTGATGCAGGAGTACATTGGAAAGAGCTTGAGTTAAAATAGCAGGGGAAGGCAGAGGGGGATCCTGGCCAGGTGCTAAGACCACCTAAGAGACCCCACACTAGCATTGTTAGTGGTTTTCAGCAGTGTGAAATCACACTTTCGTCACACAAAGCAATTATCTTTGGCTCGGCTTTTGCGCTTTCAAGGTATGTAAACAGGGCTGTCCTTTCTCTAAAATCCTCTAATCCAGGGCTCTTCAAACTTGGCCCTTTTATGACTTGTGGACTTCAACTCCCAGAATTCCTCAGCCAGCGTGCCTGGCTGAGGAATTCTGGGAGTTGAAGTCCACAAGTCGTGAGGTGGCCAAGGTTGAAGAACCCTCCTTCAACTTACTTCTACTTAGCCATTCTACTTCCACCAAGTTGCCTTACATGAGGGGTCCTCAAACTTGGCCCTTTGATGACTTGTGGACTTCAACTCCCAGAATTCCTCAGCCAGGCACGCTGGCTGAGGAATTCTGGGAGTTGAAGTCCACAAGTCGTGAGGTGGCCAAAATTGAAGACCCCTCCTTCAACATACCTCTGCTTAACCATTCTATTTCCACCAAGTTGTTTTACATCAGGGGTCTTCAAACTTGGCCCTTTGATGACTTGTGGACTTCAACTCCCAGAATTCCTCAGCCAGCATGCCTGGCTGAGGAATTCTAGGAGTTGAAGTCCATAAGTCATCAAAGGGCCATGTTTGAGGACCCCTGCTCTAATCTAATACCTTCTTATGACTGCAGCATTGCTAGAAGCTTCACAGATGGACAAACTTCAATGTTAAATGGAGGCAGTCCTCCGCTTACAACAGTTCATTCAGTGACCGCTGGCAGTTACGACGGCATTGAAAAAGTGACTTATGATCGTTTTTCACACTTATGAGTGTTGCAGCCTCTCCGTAATCATGCAAATTATATTTACATGGCTCATATTTATGATGGTCGCAGTGTCTTGGGGTCAGTTGATTCCCCTTTTGCAACCTTCTGACAAGCCAAGTCCATGGGGAAGCCAGATTCACTTAGCAACCGTGTTAACAACGGTAGTGATTCACTTGACAACAGAGGCCAAAAAATGGTCGTAAAATGGGGGGAAACTCACTTACTTAGTAACAGGAGATTTTGGGCTCCATTGGGGTCGTATGTCAGAGAGTATCTGTACTGTGTGATTGTTTGCCTTGTACAAGGAAAAGTCCCATCCGGGGCGCCAAATTGTTGAAGGAAAAGTCTTCGTCAGGGTTCAGTCTAAGCTGGGAATAAATTGCAACCTTCTTTCTAAAGCAGTCACCATGTTGTTTATTCCCGGCTTGGACTGAACCCTGACGACCGTTGCAGCATCCCCATGGTCACATGATCGAAATCCAACTGTCTCATACTTATGACGGTTGCAATGTCCCCCAGGGTCACGCGACCCCCTTTTGTGACCTTCTGACAAGCAAAATCCATGGGGAAGCCGGATTCACTTCACGACCCAATGACTGCAGTGATTCACTTAACAAAACAACTGCAGCAAGGAAGGTTGTAAAATGGGGCAAAACTCAACAACACATTTCTCACTTTGCAACATAAATTTTGGGGTCAATTGTGGTCGTACGTTGAGGACTACCCATAGATAAGTCTTAGATTCGACTTCGCTCCTGTGGCTGATCCGTCACACTGCAAAATATGTTCAAATTGTACCTGAATTCTTACATCAGAAGTCCTGGCCTAAGGATGCAACCTTTAGCACCCGTATTTGTGAAACTCAGACCGAGATGATTGAGCTGCTGGGGTCTCCTGCAAACAGCCCTGGTTACATGCCCAATACAGGTACTCCTCGACTTACAACTGTCCATTTAGTGACCGTTCAAAGTTACAACGACCCTGAAAAAAGCAACTTACGATCTTTTTCAGAGTTACGACATTTGCAACATCCTGATGATCACATGATCAAAATCCGGATACTTGGCAACCGGTTTGTATTTACGACGGTCGTAGCGTCCCCCCGGGGTCACGGGATCCCCTTTTGCGACCTTCTGACAAGCAAAGTCAACGGTGGGAAGCCGGATTCATTTAACAACCGTACTGGTAACTTATCAACTGTAGTGATTCACTTAACAACGGAGGCATGGAAGGTCACAAAATGGGGCAAAAATTCACTTAACAAATGTCTCGCTTAGCCACAGAAATCTGGGGCTCCATTGTGGTCATAAGTCGAGGACTGTCTGTTTTGTCCTCTTCTGCCACGGACCTGGGTGCTACAACCCACATCAAACCACAGCAGCCTTCCCAACGCATCTCTTGTGTGCATTTCAGAAAAGCCGTTAAGCGCACACACGGCACAATGCTATCCTTCGGACGTACCAGCAACAGCTTCCGGGAAAGCCTTCGTTTCTTATACCACTTGGGGCGCTTAAAAAGCTTTTTAAGAAACTTTAATGGACCCTGAAAACCAATACAATGTTTATTTTATTGTTCTAGTATTGTACTTCTGTTCTGCTTATGCTCCTTTCGTTTTCTTCCTTTTTATTATTGTAAGTCACCTATGGCAGGGGTAGGCAACCTTGGCTCTTTTATGACTGGTGGACTTCAACTCCCAGAATTCCTGAGCCAGCCATGCTGAGGGGAAAGGGAGAGGTTTCCAAGCTGAGCCAGGCTGGCTCAGGAATTCTGGGAGTTGAAGTCCACGAGTCATGAAGGGGCCATAGTTCCCCCATGCTGGCTGAGGAATTCTGGGAGTTGAAGTCCCCCAGTCATGAAGGGGCCATAGTTCCCCCATGCTGGCTGAGGAATTCTGGGAGTTGAAGTCCACCAGTCATGAAGGGGCCATAGTTCCCCCATGCTGGCTCAGGAATTCTGGGAGTCATAAAAGAGCCAAGGTTACCTACCCCTGACCTATAGAGTACCACATTACAAAAAAGTTGTTGAGACTTTGGAAAAAGTGCAGAGAAGAGCAACTCAGATGATTAAAGGCCTGGAGGCAAAAACATGTGAAGAACGGCTGCAGGATTTGGGTATGGCCAGTCTAGAGAAAAGAAGGCCTGGGGCGGGGGACACATGATTGCAGTCTTCCAGTATTTGAGGGGCTGCCATAAAAAAGAGGGGAGGGGAGGTCAACCTCTTCTCCAAAGCACCAGAAGGCAGGACAAGAAGCAACAGATGGAAAACTAATCAAGGAGAGAAGCAACCTGGAATTAAGGAGAAACTTCCTAACAGTGAGGACAATCAACCAGTGGAACAACCTGCCTTCAGAAGTTGTAGGTGCTTCATCAATGGAGATTTTAAAGAAGAGAGTAGACAGCCATTTGTCTGAAATCGTATAGGGTCTCCTGCTTGAGGGAGCTGGACTAGAAGACCTCCAAGTTCCCTTCCAGCTCTATTCTGATTGATTGATTGATTGATTGATTGATTGATTGATTAACCCCGCAATGAGATAGATGGCAAATCAACTGAACAAACAAATAAATAAGCCTCGTGAAACAAGAAAAAGCAAAGGGCTGTGGTCTAATTTCCCCATTAGAAAAAGGGGCCTGGGGGACTGCAAAGGTGATGGAGTTAGCAGAGATGGCAATACTTTGACTGTTTTAATGATAGAATTTATCCAGAAACGAAACGTTGGTTTCAGGTTTTGATGATTAGAGGATTTTGCAATGACAGCAACGGTTCGAAACACGGTGAAGTGTAAAGTCAAAGGTTTGATGTTGTGATCGTTTTGTAATCTTTTTTGTAATGACTTCTATCTCTCTCTGCGCTTTCCTTATTCCTTTTCTTATTTTTCTAACTTTTCTTTTTCTCGGTGTTTTTATCCTACAATGAAACCTCGTTTAAACTTAAACTTAAGGAAGTCCTTGGGTTGCTACTGTTTCTTCGGCGGCCGTTCAAACTTACAACGGTGTTCAATGAATGGGATTTACGGCCGGTCCTTGGTGTTTTGGCTGTTACAGCAACCCGTGGACACATGATTGCGATTTCCGACATTCCCTGCTGGCTTTCCACAAGCAAAGTCATTGGGGAAGCCAGCAGAAGCCGGAAGTCAAAAGTCGCAATCGTGTAAGGTCCTCACTTGATGTCCCACGCAATCCTTAGGTCAGTGATGGCGAACCTTTAAGAGACCGAGTGCCCAAACTGCAACCCAAAACCCACTTATGCATCGTCGGGTGCCGGTGGGTGTGGCCCAGTGGCTGGGTGTGGCCAATTGGATGGGCATGGCCCATTGGGTGGGCGTGGCTGCGGTGGTAACGGCAGACTGGGTGGGACTAAAAAGTTCAATCAATCAATTCCAACTTTGCAAGATCTTTTTTTTCCCTGCGAGAAGTTGAAATTGATTGATTGATTGAACCTTTTTTTTTTTTTTGCACACAGCGGCGGAGGCCTAAAGCGAAAAGGTTTTATAAAACCCAGCTGAAGGCCTAGGACTGGGGTGACGGCGTGCGTGCCCGCAGAGAGGGCTCTGAGTGCCGCCTCTGGCACCCGTGCCGTAGGTTCGTCACCACTGCCTTAGGTTATGATGATAACCAGGACTGCGAGAATTGTAAGCAATGTGGTCACATGACATCACATTTAACGACCGTTAGTGATGGAAATTCTGGTCCCAATTGCCGTCATAACCTGAGGACAATGTATACAGCCTACAACAGTAAAATAACATTCCGTACAATTCTGAGTATGTAAACATTTTACTGGCTGATGAGAATCCTAACGTTACAGCAGCAACCGCTAGTTTTTGTTTTTTTTTTAACTTTGACTATTAAAAAAAAAAGGCTTTTCCTAACAAATGAGTTAACGAATTGAGGTTGGGAGTCATTATGAAATATTTATTAAAATGCTTCTTAAAATGTTTCATCTAACGCCAAATTTTAGATTGTACTGGTCAACTGCTTTGGGGGTCTTAAAGATGTCCATAAAATTGAATGAGAATTCCTTCTCCTTATCTTTTTTTTTTTTAATGCACCTTTTTTGGGTCCAGTTTTGTTTCGTCTTTGTAAAAACGTTTTTGAAGCTTGCGCATTTGAACGTTTGAAGAAAATAATAATAAAAAACTAATGGAATTTTAATCCCGTTCAAATTTAATAAAGAAGGAAAAGAAGAATTTTTTTTTTAAAAAAAAGTCCTACTTGCCCTGCCCTGTCTCAACTCGTTCCAATTTCCCAACTCGTTCAGGAGAGTTGCATGTTTAAGATATCCAGTAGGAACCAGACGAGGATCAATGACATAGGAGCAGGGTTAGCTCATCTTTTGTCCAGAAAAGGAGAAACTCATATTTGGTAAGAACTTACCTTCTGCGGGGCGTCGTGTTCCGGCACCAGCCACTCCAGTTCAGAGGCTGCGGGCAGTTGCATTCCTTCAAACTGCTTCAGCAAGCCCATAGCTACGGCTTCTGCCGAGTTCGAATTGAGGAAGGTGTGGTAGCTCCTGGAGGAAGCGGGAGAAATGACAACCACTGTAAAGCAACAGGATTAACTCGGGGGTCTTCCAACTTGGCCCTTTGATGACTTGTGGACTTCAGCTCCCAGAATCCCTCAGCCAGGCACGCTGAAGGGGCCATAGTTCCCCCACGCTGGCTGAGGAATTCTGGGAGTTGAAGTCCGCGAGTCATGAAGGGGCCATAGTTCCCCCATGCTGGCTGAGGAATTCTGGGAGTTGAAGTCCACGAGTCATGAAGGGGCCATAGTTCCCCCATGCTGGCTGAGGAATTCTGGGAGTTGAAGTCCACGAGTCATGAAGGGGCCATAGTTCCCCCATGCTGGCTGAGGAATTCTGGGAGTTGAAGTCCGCAAGTCATGAAGGGGCCATAGTTCCCCCATGCTGCCTCAGGAATTCTGGGAGTTGAAGTCCGCAAGTCATCAGGTGTATGGATTTCAGCTCCTAGAAATCCCCAGAATTCTCCAGCCAATCAATCTTGACAACTTTAAGATGGGTGGACTTCAACTCCTAGCGTTAAGTTGGGGGGGGGGGATTCTAAGAGCTGAAATTGACATGCTTCGAAAGTTGTCGTAGTTGAAAAACGCTGCCTTAGACTCCCCCCTACAGGCAGGATTAGGAACTTTCTTTCCTGGAAGAAGCTATTGGGGGAGGGAACCGAAGGTTTTCCTTGCTCATTCCCATCTCCTTCCCACCTTCCTTCCCTCCCTCCCTCTTTCCTTCCTCTCATTTCTGTCTCTTCTCCTCTCCCTTTCTTCCTTTCTCCCTCCCTCGTTCTTCCTCTCATTTCGGTCTCCTCTCCCCCTCTTCCTCCCTTCTTCCTCATTTATGCCTCCTCTCCCTCTCTTGTCTCCTCTGCTCCCCTCCCTTCTTCTCTCCCTTTCTTTTTTTTTCTTTTCTTCCTTTCCTTCCTTCCTTCCTTCCTCCCTATTTGTCTCCTCTTACCTCCTTCCATCTCCCTCTCTCCCTCCTTCCTTCCTTTTCTCTTTTTCTTTGTTTTCTTTCTTCCTTTTTCCTTTCCTTCCTTCCTTCCTCCCTATTTGTCTCCTCTTCCCTCCTTCCATCTCCCTCTTCCTCCCTCCCTCCCTCCTTTCTTTTTTTTCTTTCTTTTTCTCTTTCTTTTTCTTTCTTTCTTCCTTTTTCTTCCTTCCTCCCTATTTGTCTCCTCTTCCCTCCTTCCATCTCCCTCTCCCTCCCTCCCTCCCTTTCTTTCTTTCTTTTTCTCTTTCTTTCTTCCTTTTTCTTCCTTTTCTTCCTTTCCTTCCTTCCTTCCTTCCTTCCTCTTATTTCTGTCTCCTCTCTTCCCTCCTTCTCCTCCTCCTTCCTGTCCAATTGACTCACAGCACATTTCCCACCATGTATCCTGTGCTAGGTGGTGTTCTCCCTGCCTTACCAACATGAAACACCCCCCTCCCTCCTGGACTGCACTGACCCCCATCTGGTCTTAATTACTGCTGCTTCTCCTGCATGGTCCATGCTGGGCTCAATCCCTTCTGCATCCCCCAGGGAGGATAGAAGCAAATGCTTTCCTCAACTCCGGGGCTTCTGGGTTACTTCCTGCTGAGGCCCTCCTGCTGCAAGACGGATGAGCAACGGGAGACTCTCCGGCGAGTCCTGCCCTATCGCTGTAAGTCGGTTTTTAATTGCGGCGTCCTGAAGATGGCTTCCAGCATCTACCTCCAGCTGTACAGGACTACCTGTAGCTGAACCCAGGTTGGGCCGGACTGAGGGAGAGAGGGAGGACGAAGCATCAGCAGTAGGCATACGTACGTGGAACTAGAGGAAAGGAAGGACTTTTTGTTCGGAGGCCGGTTCCTCTTGATGTCCGCATCTAATTGGCAACATAAGAGATGAGGAAGTGTCAGATTAGAAATAGAAGACAGAATAACAGAGCTGGAAGGGACCTCGGAGGTCCTCTAGTCCAACTCCCTGCTCAAGCAGGAGACTCTATACGAGGCGTAGGCAACCTTGGCTCTTTTATGACTGGTGGACTTCAACTCCCAGAATTCCTGAGCCAGCCATGCTGAAGGGAAAGGGAGAGGTTTCCAAGCTGAGCCATGCTGGCTCAGGAATTCTGGGAGTTGAAGTCGACAAGTCATGAAGGGGCCATAGTTCCCCCATGCTGGCTCAGGAATTCTGGGAGTTGAAGTCCACGAGTAATAAAAGAGCCAAGGTGGCCTACCCCTGCTCTAAAGTTTGGCGCACGAACTTCAGTTCTGGCTTTGCTATACTGTAAACCACTTGGCTTTTAGTAAAGTATACCTTTTGCTACAAAGGGGGTCTTTCATACCTAAAGGACCAAGTCGGGGCAGGCCGGACATCTAACTTAAACATCTAAAGTGGTATTAATACCACTTTACAAGGCCTTGGTAAGGCCACACTTGGAATACGGCATCCAGTTTTGGTCACCACAATGTAAAAAGGATGCTGAGACTCTAGAAAGAGTGCAGAGAAGAGCAACAAAGATGATCAGGGGACTGGAGGCTAAAACATATAAGGAACGGCTGCTGGAATTGGGCATGTCTAGTTTAATGAAGAGAAGGACGAGGGGGGGACATGATAGCAGTCTTCCAGTATCTCAGGGGCTGCCCCAAAGAAGAGGGAGTCAAGCTATTCTCCAAAGCAACCAAAGGCAGGACAAGAAGCAACGGATGGAAACTAATCAAGGAGAGAAGCAACCTAGAACTAAGGAGACACTTCCTGACAGTGAGAACAATTAACCAGTGGAACAACCTGCCTCCAGAAGCGGTGAATGCTTCAACACTGGAAGTTTTTAAGAAGAGACTGGACAGCCCTTTGTTTGGAATGGTATAGGGTTTCCTGCCTGAGCAGGGGGTTGGACTAGATGACCTCCAAGGTCCCTTCCAACTTTATTATTATTATTAACCTATTTTGCCAAATCTGATACGGACTTACCAAGGGTTCAGGAGGGGAAAGTCGTTACCTGAAAACAATGAGGCCATCGAGACGGACAGTTCACTGTTGGACATGTGAATCAGGTTGGATCCTTCGTTTCCATCTGCAGGACATGGGGATGACAGAAGAGCATTATCTCAAACGAAGGAACTGCTTTATGCTTTGTGCGGGACCGTCAGATTCCGCCTGACTTTACTACATCTAGTTTCTCTCAGTAAAAGTTCTTTCGATTCAACTCAGTGGATTCAGGAGTCTTACTTTCCCAGAGGGCCAACTGAGGCCGGTCAAACAGTTGTGTGAATTTTGAGCATGCCACCACAAGGATGCTGCGACAGTCGTTAAGTGTGGAAGACGGCCCTAAGCCACTTTTTTTTCCAGTGCCGTTGTAACTTCTGTGGGAGATGAAAATATAGCCCCCTCCTCATATAACAAGATGAGGCTGGAGCAAAACCTGAGGTAGGCCCCACCGTAGTGATTTAAAACAGAGCTTTAACTCGAACGCTATATTGTTTCACAATACGGACGTACTATTTGTAATCTGCTGAGCTTTGTGCCATATGAAATCGCAAAGTAGGTAGTTCTGTGTATATTTGGAACGTGAGTATTGTAACCGTGGGAAAAGTGGAACTGAAAGTAGCTGATGGATGCGGGTTCCAATGTACACGGGTATATTTGGAAAGTTATGTTCAGCAGAAGGTCCGTAGGAAGTCAGTAGGAAGTCAGCAAAAGTCAGCAGACCATCTGACTACAGTCTTAGAACGAGAAAGGGTATAAAGAGTTGGGACTGGACCTGATTGATTTGCCATTGGCCTATAGCTGTCCTTTTGGAATCTGCTATGCCAGTGGACCTCATTGCAATGGTTTATTAATGTAGGTGATGTTGTATTATTACACTTGCTATGTTCCAAATCATTAGCAAAATAAACCTCTGAATCTTAAAGTAAGAGTTATTGTTTTGTGCTGCTGTCTCTTGTCTTTTTCATTGGGTTTTTCCTCCACACTTTGAATGGTCGCTAAATGAATGGTTGTAAGTCAAGGACTACCTATAAAGGAAGGGTAGCTCGGGGCTCATTCTACAGGTTTCATCCTACCTCGGATCTCATACTCATCCACCTCTTCCGCAGATCCCGAGTCGGAGGGACAGGTTGAGTCTTGGGAGCTGAAGTACGATCCACTGTCGGTTGCTTTCAGACCTGCAAGAGTGAGGAAGATTGAACGACCTGCTCATGAAGATGCTTCACCATTATCAACAGGACAGAATACAGGAAACAGACGAGCTGCAACCATAATTGGGCCCTGCAATTTTACAGTCGTATGTTGTAACAGTTGTAAAGCGAGACACACCATGTGACCAGACCTGATTTTACGACCTTTTTCGTAGTGGTCATTAAATCCAAATGAGCTGCACAGTGGCTCAGCGGTTAAAGATGCTGGGTTTGCTAGCTGGAAAGCCAGCGGTGAAGGTTTGAGTCCCGAACGCCGTGTGATGGAGTGAGCTCCCGTCCTCGGCTCAGCTCCTACCAACTTAGCAGTTCGCAAGCATGCAAATGCGAGTAGGTAAATAGGGACCACTTCGTGGGAAGGTAACAACGCTGCGTGACGTCATGCTGGCAACATGACCACAGCAATGTCTTCGGACAGCGCTGGCTCAATGGCCTTGAAACGGAGATGAGCATCACCCCCTGGATTCAGCAACGACTAGCGCAGCAATGGCGAACCTTTTAGAGACCGAGTACCCAAACTGCAACCCAAAACCCACTTATTTATCACAAAGTGCCAGGGCCGCATCAGCATTGTGGTGCCCTCAGGGAGGGGCATGGAGGCGTAGCCCACTGGGTGGGTGTGGCTGGGGTGGGTATGGCCACCTCAATGTTGCTCATGGGGGGGATGCCTGTGGGGGCCGGACAGGGTTGGGGGAGATCCAGGGGTTCTCTGGCGGGTGGGACGGTGGGCAGGAGGCCCAGCATAGATAGGGGGGAGGCACGCAATCCTAGCTGGGACTGGGGGGCCATGGCGCCAATGGGGATCCGGCTTTTCCTGCTCGGGGTGGCCTTTGGCTTTACCTTTTACTCCCTACATTAAGTCAGTACCAAGCAGTTGAAGTTCAAAGATCTTAAAGATGGCTAAGATTGAGAAAAGAAAGACTAGATCAGACACGTCAAACTCGCGATGTGACGTGACTTTTTCCCCCATTGCCAGCAATGGGGTGCACGGGGTTTCGGCGTGACGCATCGGCCCGCGGGCCGGCAGTTTGACACACCTGGACTAGTTACTTCAGAATTCAGTCCCAAATCTAGATTCAGAGACAGCCTGAGGTCTGTCTGATGGCTTCAGCTCCAAGAAAGAATTTGGGATTTCAACTTCTCAACCTTCTAAAGGATAGGAAGCACTCACTGTCAGAGCCCACGTCCTGGCACACCGGGTGGAGGTAGCGGGTCCGAATCTGTTGCCGGCGGATGCGGATCTTCTGCTTGAGGTCTTGTATCACCTTGTCACTTTCTTCCTCCTCCTCTTCTATCTGACGGTTCGTCATGTTGCACTTCATCAGCTCGATCGCCGCAATCAGCGACTCGGAGATGCTGAAGTGAGCGTTTTCCTGGAACGAAGGGAGAGAAGAAGAATTCAGAGAAGAGCAATTAAGACGATCCAAGGCCTGGAGGCCAAAACGTACGAAGAATGGCTGCGGGACTTGGGTTTGGCTAGTCTAAAGAAAAGAAGAAATAGGGGAGACATGATAGCAGCATTTCAGTATCTGAAGGGCTGCTACTAAGAAGAGGGGGTCACGTTATTCTCCAAAGCACCAGAGGGCAGGACAAGAAACAATGGTTGGAAACTGACCAAAGAGAGAAACAACCTGGAATTAAGGAGAAACTTCCTGACAGTGAGGACAATTAACCAGTGGAACAGCCTGCTACCAGAAATCGTGGGCGCTCCATCAATGGAGATTTTTAAGAAGAGACTAGACGAGGGGTAGGCAACCTTGGCTCTTTTATGACTCGTGAACTTCAACTCCCAGAATTCCTGAGCCAGCCATGCTGAGGGGAAAGGGAGAGGCTTCTAAGCTGAGCCATGCTGGCTCAGGAATTCTGGGAGTTGAAGTCCACGAGTCATAAAAGAGCCAAGGTTGCCTACCCCTGGACTAGACAATCACCTGTCTGACATGGTGTAGGTTCTCCTGCTTGAGCAGGGGGCTAGACTAGAAGACCTCCGAGATCCCTTCCAGCTCTATTCTATTCTAAAGCTGTCAAACTGTTCGCAAAGTAGAGGATTAAACGTTTGAATAAAGGAGAGGATGTCAAATCCAGCTCAAGGATGACACACAGGTAGTTCCAGCAAGTGGCTTGTGCTGATGGCCATTTGCACTGTTGCGCAGTCACACAACTGTGTTTTACAGCATTTTTGCTGGAGCCTAATGTTTACGTCTGATTTTCGGCGCAACTGGTCCCTGGCCAAGAACGGATTGGCTGGACCACCACGGCAACTGCCTCACGACCACCGTCCTTTAGACCGGTGTTTCTCCTCCTTCGCAACTTGAAGACTTGTGGACTTCAAGTCCCAGAATTCCTCAGCTGGGAACTGAAGTCCACAAGTCTTAAAGTTGCTAAGGAGGAGAAACCCTGTAATCCAGGGGTAGTCAACCTTGGCTCTTTTATGACTTGTGGACTTCAACTCCCAGAATTCCTGAGCCAGCATGGGGGAACTGTGGCCCCTTCATGACTCATGGACTTCCACTCCCAGCTGGCTCAGGAATTCTGGGAGTTGAAGTCCACGAGTCAGAAAAGAGCCAAGGTTGACTACCCCTGCTGTAATCCATCATACATGCCGGCTGGGGAATTCTGGGATTTGAAGGCCGTCTGTTCTTAAGGTCGCTGAAACCGAGCAGCCCTGCTTAAAATTTTAAAAAGGGACTATATTCCTACACTAAAACTGTAAAAACAGTGTCAAAAAGACGATGCCTGTGGGATGAATTGTCCTGGCAAATGTGATTCAATTCTGCACGGGTGTCATGGCTTTTGACACAAGTATGTGTTAAATCATGACATTTGCACGAGGGTATCCTGGTACATGGGCCATTAGCAGGCCCTCCACCGCAAATTCCTTTGTTCCAAAAAAAAATCCTGAGGAGAAATCAGTAAGAACAGGGATCCGAGACCCCTTTCCACAGTTCCCACCGATTTACTGACCAACATCTTTGTCTCAAGCCTCTGTTTTACCTTTTCCAAGTCTGCACAGCTGCCGAAATCTTGCTCCGACAGGTAGCTGATCAGGGATTGGCCTTCTGTGGGCCTCCGGAACATCCCTTCGCCCGGATGCAAATACTGTCCAGTGTCTGGCAGGGGGAGAAAAAAGGAAGTTTCTTTCAAAACGAATGAAGGCGAATGTAGGAGTCCTAGGATGATATTGCAGATAGTATTGATCTGTACCTATCTATGATTGTCTATTATCTGTCTGTCTGTCTATGCCTATCTATCTATCTATCTATCTATCTATCTATCTATCTATCTATCTATCTATCCATCCATCTATCTATCTATATCCACCTTATCTATCTATCTTTATCCACCTCTATCTATCTATCTATCTATCTATCTATCTATCTATCTATCTATCTTATCTATCTCCACTCATCTATCCATCCATCACCTACCTACCTACCTACCTACCTACCTATCTATCTATCTATCTATCTATCTATCTATCTATCTATCTTTATCTATCTTTATCTATCTATCTTTATCTATCTATCTACCTACCTACCTACCCATTCATATCTATCTATCTCTATAGATAGATAGATAGATAGATAGATAGATAGATAGATAGATAGATAGATAGATAGATAGATAGATAGATAGATAGACAGATAAAGCTGCAACTTTGAACGGTTGCTAAACAAAGGGTCATAAAGTGGAGGACTGCTCGTATATATAATTTTTCTGTGCTTGAAACCGAGTAGGCCCGAACGCCTGTATGGTGGGTTTCAGAATTTGATCAAACCTGGACTCAGGGGAGCTAGTGGAAAGAAGTATTCTGTAGCAACCTCTTCCACCTTTTGAACAGAGTCCGAAGACCAAAGCCGTGAACAGAAACAGACTCACCATATTCAACATACACTGATCCGGGGGTGCTTCCATCTTGATTCTGCACCGGACAGGAGAGATTGCCCTTGTATTGCAAAATGTCTCCATTGGACTCTAGGCACAATACGCAAAAGAAAAGAGACCGTCAACGACCAGGATCCACCCGGGGGGGGGGGAGAGCAGCCAACAGAACCGAGTGGGAGGAAGCGAGGAAAGATGGAATGGATGGTATGGAACCGGAAGGAGGGAACACAAGAAATGCTGGGTGAACAGAGGCTCACAAGACGTCACAGCAGACACATACAAGATGTGGTGGGTGGGGCACTATTTTTTCGGAAAGTCGAATGAAAAGGTTCCAACAGGTGTTGGGTTGCAGGGTTTCCCGGTGGTTTCTGAGCCTGGATGTTTTCTGGCAGACGTTTCGGGACCCAACTAGGTAACATCATCAGTGCTAGAAGGGAGGGGTTTGCGGAGAAGAGGAAGAAGAAGAAGAAGAAGAAGAAGAAGAAGAAGAAGAAGAAGAAGAAGAAGAAGAAGAAGAAGAAGAAGAAGAAGAAGAAGAAGAAGAAGAAGAAGAAGAGGAGGAGGAGGAGGAGGAGGAGGAAGAGGAGGAGGAGGAGGAAGAGGAGGAAGAGGAGGAGGAGATGGGAGACTGATGGGGTCCTTGGTGCTGTCTGAGCTGGGTTGTTTCCTTGCAGACATTTTATGACCCAACTAGGTAATCCTCAACTTATGACCACAACGGAGCCCAAAATTTCTGTGGCTAAGTGAGACCTTGGTTCAGTGAATTTCGCCCCGTTTTTACGACCTTTACTGCCACTGTTAAGTGAATCGCTGCAATTGTTAAGTTAGTAAGATGATCGTTAAGCGAACCTGGCTTCCTATTAATTTGGTTCGTCAGAAGGTCGCCACCAGGGACACTGCGACCGTCATAAATACGAGTCAGTTGCCCAGCATCTGAACTTTGATCGTGTGAGCTTGGGATGCCTGCAGCGGTCGTTAAGTGTGGACACCGGTCATAAGTCACTTTCCTTCCGCGGTCAATTTCAACCGTCACCAAATGAACTCTTATAAGCCGAGAACTACTTGTTGATTCCATGACAGAGGCGTGTTCTGTGGGGCAAGCGTGTTGAATATTCATGCGGGGAAGAAGACGCGGTCCCTTCTAAATTCCCTTCGAGAGATTTTGCGGAGGTTTTGAACTCAGGACAAGGAACTACCAATGGATGGGAAGGGGGGGCGGGGGGAGAAGCAGGACGAGAAAGGGAAGATGGATTGGTAACATGCTGGTTCCCAAACCTGCTACAGGATCTTCTATTATAATGCTGATGTCTCTGCGCCCTCCTAAGGGCGGGCGGCGAAAGCAGGAGAGAAGGTTAAGAGAAAAACAGAATAAAAATAGAAAAAAAGGAGCGTTATTTTCCAAGAGAGAATCCTAGCTGGGTCCCTTTGGAGAGCATCGCCCAGATCTTCCCAGGCTACGAAATCCACAGTCACAATTACGATACTCGGCAGTCGTGATCGCTTCCTGTTTTCCCATCTTTTGGGGGCGAGCTTTGTATAGATGTTTTTGTCAACCGTGGCCACTTTAAGATGGGTGGACTTCAACTCCCAGAATCCCCCAGCCAGCCGTTGAAGCCCACCCATCTGAAAGTTGAGCAAAACGGATCCAGAGGAGTTTTCCCAACCAGGTAAGCAAACGTCAAACTCCCCAGAATTCTCAAGAATTGTCCTAGGGACTGAGGAATGCTGGGATTTGAAGACCACCACCCCCTTTTTAGAAAGCATGTTGTCTGGGGTAGAGAGGTATCATCAAACTACAATTCCCAGCAGCCCTTGGAAAGCGAGAATGGAAAAGAACACTATTTGAAGGACAGGGTTTTCCTTGCCTTTCTAGGTAGATTATTTGTAAAATGTCTTCTAAAGATAAGACAGACATTCCCAAATTAATTAAGAGGATAAGGGACTCAGTATTCCAAAGCAATCAGGTCTCAAACTGGTTTAAGATGCAATACACACTGCAACATACTTAAACTGGTTACAGTACTGCGTTAACCAATTTTCTGAGACCACACAGTATGTTCTACATCAGTGGTTCTCAACCTTTTTAGTGCCGCGACCCCAACCGGTTGTAAGTCGAGGATTAAACCGATCGTAAGTCGAGGACTAAACCGGTCGTAAGTCGAGGACTAAACCGGTCGTAAGTCGAGGACTTTCCCTGCCCGGGAGCACCGCGCATGCGTGGTTCTGCCCCCCTGCGCCGGCCGAGGCGTAGTTGACAAGCGGCAGAGACGGAGCAGGCCGACCACCAGCTGGCCCAGCCCAAGGGAGGTAAGGCACCCGCCGGAAAAGGGGGAAAAAATGGCGGACAAAAAAATGGCGGACAAAAAAAATGGCGGACAGCCTTGCTTGGCGACCCCCGTGAAATGGTCGATCGACCCCAAATGGGGTCCCGACCCACAGGTTGAGAACCATTGTTCTACACCATAAATCAGCCAACTACCTGTATATAAAAGCAACAAAATATTTTTTTTAACCTAGCAATAATAATAATTATTAGCTTAAATAGTAGATATTAAGATATTAAATAGTAGATATTAAGAGAAAAAAACAAAGTATTAAATGTTGAAATAGGAGGAATTTTGGTTACTAAATTTAAGATATCTGGAAATTACCAGAAAATAAGAATATTATTGTATAGTATTACTAATTAGCTGATGCAAGATGGTGAGAACTCAAATAGATAAGACCTGTATTCTGAACGTTAGATCTTGTGATGAATTGTGATAAAGGGAATGGGGGTTATTTAAATTTTGGAAATTATAAATATCGAACGTGAAATATAAATATGAATGGGAAACCAAAAATTGGGGAAAATCAATCAGGGCACTGATTGTCTAAAAAAGATTGAATGTTAAAACAACTAGGATATGTATAAACTAAAAATGATGGATAAATGCAAGAAAGGTATTTTTTTTATTTAATCGATATAATAAGAATTGTACGAATTTAAGATGAGGCAGTAAATACTAAGGGGAAAAGAGGGGAAATATTGAATGTAATAGTTTGAGATCTGTACTAAAGATATTTGTATGTTATGGAATTATTGACCAACTCAGCCACCATGTTGCTTTTCCAATGCTTAAATGTAAAACTAGAAAACCAATAAAAATTTCTTTTTTAAAAAAAGCGACAAAGTCTTTAGCTCAGATGATCAACTACAAAGTCCAGCTGCCTTTTGGAAAAAAGCACCTTTGGGAGTAGACCTGGTCTTTTTCTATCTGCTGGATTTCCCTGCGACCGGCATTTTTAAGAGAGGTCCCCCCGCGCAACTCGGTGGAGAGGCGTGCTACAATCTACCGTAACTGGGGGTGCAGAATTAGGAGGAAATTTTTTAAAAAATATTTAATTCACTGTTTTTCCAACTTGGCCAGTTTTCCAACTTGGCAACTCCCAGAATTCCCCAGCCAGCCATGCCTGGTTTTTTTTCCCCATCTTACCACCTAAAGTGGGGAGATTGCAGAGGAAGGGATTACAAGAGAGTAAGCTGCGCTGGCTGGGGAATTCTAGGAGTTGAAGTCCACGCGTCTTAAGGTTGCATACGTGGAGAAACACTGATCTAATGCATGACCCCTAGAAGAACATTTGAGAGTGCAGGTAGTCCTCGGTTTATGACCCCAGCTGAGCACAAAATTTCTGCTGCTAAGCGAGACAGTTGTTAAGTCAGTTCTGCCCCATTTCTTGCCCCAGTTGTTAAGTGAATCGCTGCCGTTGTTACGTTAGAAACATGGTTGTTAAGCGAATCCGACTTCCCCGTTGACTTTGCTTGTGCGAAGTTCGCAAAATACAATCGACTGACCCTGCAACCGTCATAAATACGAGTCAGTTGCCAAGGGTCCAAATTTTGATCACATGACCAGGAGGATGCTAAGTGTGGGGAAACGGTCCTAAGTCACTTTTTTTCAGTGCTGTTGTAACTTTGAACGGTCACTAAACCAGGGGTAGGCAACCTCGGCTCTTTTATGACTCGTGGACTTCAACTCCCAGAATTCCTGAGTCAGAAAAGCTTACTCTCTTGTAATCCCTTCCTCTGCAATCTCCCCACTTTAGGGGGTAAGCTCAGGAATTCTGGGAGTTGAAGTCTGTTCAAAAGTTCATGACAGGATACACTGGCTATGTGCCAATTTAGAATGTCTTTGTCTGAGATAAACATGGGGCCACGGCAGGACTCAGATGATCCCATTCCACACTACAAGCTGGTATGGAGGAAGCATTAATTTCTTACCTATGAGAATGAACAGATGTGTATTATCCAGAAGCAACAACCACATAACAGCAAGTATTTCTATCTCTGAATAAATATCTGTTTTGGAATCATTCTTATTGAGTTTATCTGTCTGATCTGGATTTACAAAGCAACTTAACTCTGGGTCAGAACAGTAAGAAATTAATGCTTCCTCCATACCAGCTTGTAGCGTGGAATGGGACCATCTGAGTCCTGCCGTGGCCCCATGCTTATCTCAAGACAAAGACATTCTAAACTGGCACGTAGCCAGTGTACCCTGTCATGAACTTTTGTAACTCCTCCCACTGACCTGCTAACATGATATAGCTGACTAGCTAAAACTACATTACCCATAAGCCATCTCTTAAGGAGACAGCACTTAACCCAATAAATGTCAAACATTCTATCATACAGAGCTACATGCTCTAGTCAGGGTTACATGATCCAGAACAAAGTCCATGAGTCATAAAAGAGCCAAGGCTGCCTACCCCGGCACTAAACCAACGAGGACGACCTGTAGTGTCTAGATACACTTCTACACACATACGCACACACACACAAACACACATTTTTCCCCTCTTACCATGAGCTTTTGCAGAAGCCACGTTGGTGTCCGACTGGGAACGCACATGGCTCCGTTTGGGTTTCCCTTGGAGAACCGAAGTCTGTCCCTCGGAGAAGCTGGACCGCCGTAAAAGCGAGGACTTCCAGCTGCTTCCTAGTTCCCCCCAGGAAGAAACCGACTCCGGCTTCTGAGAGCTACTGGACGAAAACAGATTGGAGGAGCTGCTCCCTGAGCTGTTCAAGGTGGTCGGGCCGGATTCTTCGGGACTGTCGCAGGCCCGACTCGGCCGACCGAGATTCCCAATGGCCAGATATTCCGGCCCATCCGTCTCCTCTTGGCTTCCGGACCAGGGGTCTGAGTTCGGGTTCTGCGGAAGGCCGGTGCTCGTCCCAGCAGCTGGGGCATTGTTGGCGTCATTGGGGCCGGAGATGCCGAGAGGAGGAAGAGGAGGACCGGCCAGGTGTTGGGGGCACCTGCCTTCCGGATGCCGGGGAGTGGAGGTCCAAGCGGCGTTTTCTTCAGACCGATTGGTGCCACCGAACGCTGGAGGGCTTGATAGTCTCCTGTCTAGGAAGAGAAAGAAGGGGACACAGACAAGGAATCTAACTTATTTTCAGTGACGATACGGCTACGAGAACATACAGGTAGCCCTCAACCTTTTCTGTCAGCCCAGCCCACCTCGCAGGCTTGTTGTTGTGGGGAAAATAGGAGGAAGGAGTATATTAGATACGTTTGCCTCCTTGAGTTCTTTATCCAAATAGTCAAGGCAAAATAAAACTAACTAACGAAATACAATAAGTATGTTCTAGGATAGGTTCCAAGAATATTCACCCGGAGATCTGTACCCAAGACAGTCCTCAGCTTACGACCAGGATTTCCGTTGCTATACCAGGCAGTTTGTTAAGTGAATCGCACCCAATCTTTTGTTATGGCCAGGATGCTGCAAGCACCACTGAACATTCAGGTCGGTTGCCAAACGACCGAACTTTGATCGTGTGACAGTGGGGACGCTGTGTGAAAATCGGTTATAAGTTACCTGTCAGCTCTACGAAGGAGCGTGGCGGCAGCCATTATTCCTACTTGTTTTCGGTTGCCATGTAGAATAGAGGGAGGGGGGGGTTGCTAGGTGCTTCGGTAGTCAAAATAATCTTTTTTTCCGTGGGAACCAAGGTCGTGGGCTACTCCTGAGACGGCAGGCTAGGCGTTGCGTAAAAAGCCCGCTAGGAAGATGTATTGGGGAAGGCAGTTGCTTCCTTAGTTTTACAGGTGGGATTTTTTAAACTTTGTATTGGGGAATAATAATAATATTAATATTGTTATTATTATTATTAATGATAATAATAATGTTGGAAGGGACCTTAGAGGTCATCTAGTCTAACCCCCTGGTCAGGCAGGAAACCCTATCCCATTTCAGACAAATGGCTGTCCAGTCTCTTCTTAAAAGCCTCCAGTGTTGGAGCATTCACTGCTTCTGGTGGAAAGCTGTTCCACTGGTTAATTGTTCTAACTGTCAGGAAGTTTCTCCTTAGTTCCAGGTTGCTTCTCTCCTTGATTAGCTTCCATCCGTTGCTTCTTGTCCTGCCTTCAGGGGCTTTGGAGAACAGCTTGACTCCCTCTTCTTTGGGGCAGCCCCTGAGAGATTGGAAGGCTGCTATCATGTCCCCCCTCGTCCTTCTCTTCGTTAAACTAGATCAGGGGTAGGCAACCTTGGCTCTTTTATGACTCATGGACTTCAATTCTCAGAATTCCTGAGTCAGCCATGCTGAGGGGAAATGAAGAGGTTTCCAAGCTGAGCCATGCTGGCTCAGGAATTCTGGGAGTTGAAGTCCACGAGTCATAAAAGAGCCAAGGTTGCCCACTCCTGAACTAGACATACCCAATTCCAGCAACCGTTCCTTATATGTTTTAGCCTCCAGTCCCCTGATCTTCTTCGTTGCTCTTCTCTGCACTCTTTTTAGAGTCTCAACATCTTTTTTACGTCGTGGTGACCCAAACTGGATGCCGTATTCCAAGTGTGGCCTTACCAAGGCCTTGTAAAGTGGTATTAGCACTTCACGTGATCTTGATTCTATCCCTCTGTTGATGCAGCCTAGCACTGTGTTGGCTTTTTTGGCAGCTCAGCACACGGCTGGCTCTTATTTAAGGGATTGTCCACTAGGACTCCGAGGTCCCTCTCACAGTTGCTACTATTGAGCAAGGTACCCCCTATACTACGCCTGTACATTTGGTTTTTCTTGCCTAAATGTAGAACCTGGCTTTTTTCACCCTTGAATTTCATTTTGTTAGATAGCGCCCAATGATTACGTGTGTCTCCAGACTTGGTTTCACTTTTGACGTGCCCATACTTTGTAACCAATAAACACGTTCATTGAGGAAATTGCAAGCCTCGGAGTTCTGTTTTATTCGTCTCTGTCTATCGGAACCACGGCATCACCCTTTTCGGCGCCATGATTAACTCCGAACGGCCACTAAACGAACGGTCGTTAAGTCGGGGACTACCTGTATGCCTTCCAATTCTATCAAACTGATGGGGGGGGGAGACCCAAAACTGCCACAAACGGCAACCTCAAACCGAACGGTGGCAGCATCCGTGTTACAGTAACTGAGTAGTAGAAAAGAGATTTATTTAAAAAAAACAATAATCCCTAACATGCCATTGCTCATGGCTTACCTGGGATGCTGGCGTAGGTGGACGGAAGCCCCGAGAAGGAGCCAAGGTACCGATGGGCTGTGTTTTCGGCAGGAGGGGTAGAGATGGACCCCAGCAGGGCTGTCAGGCTCTTCGTCCGGGACTCGGAGGCTTCGCCTTTCCTGGCAAACTGAAAGAAGAGCCGGGTTGAGGCCATGGAGGACTGGGGGATGAGCAGAGCATTGTAGGGCTGGAAAGGAACCTTGGAGGTCTTCTAGTCCAACCCCCTGCTCAAGACAGGAGCCCTGGTATATCATCCTGCTTAAATGGTCGCCCGGCCTATTTTTGAAAACCTGCAGTGATGGAGCAGCCACAATTTCTAGAAGNTTGTTTGATGGATTAGATATGTACAAGATAGATTAATCTTTTATTTTAACTAGGAGATATTAGTGGAAGAAGGAATAACTAAGATTGATGATGAAGTCAAAGAATTAGGATGTATTTGGAAGGGATACCTTAACTGATAATGTGTGTATTTACAGTTAAATTTGATTATGGTTTTGTAATTGCATAAAGCTCTAAAACAAGTCTAGGATTAATAGAAATTTAAGTTAGAAATAGACTATTTTAAATATATAAGCTACTTGAGGGAAATAGAGAGGGAATATTTGATGTACTGATTGAGTTACCTATATATGTTTTGGTTTTGAATTTTTGATTGCCCCAACACCATGGTGTGTCTCGAGCACTTTGTATTAAGAACTAAAAAAAAACAATAAAATTTATTTAAAAAAAAAAAAAAGACCGTTGGACTTCAACTCCCAGAATTCTCCAGCAAGCAGACCTGGCTGGGAAATTATGGGAGTTGAAGTCCACGAATCTTAAAAGTTGCTAAGGCTGGACCACCCCTTGACCCAGGAAATATTTGCGTGGGAAAACGTTAATCCCGAGACGAGCAATTCCAAAAAAAGCTCGCGACGTCCGCTTCCCTATTGCTACCAAAATATTCCAAGCAGCAGATAAAAAGCAAATGGAGGATCTGTAGTGAAAACCAAGGTAGTCCTTGATTTAGGAACAACGTTGAGCCCAACGTTTCTGCTGCTAAGCAAGACAATTTTTAAGTGGGCTTTGCCTCATTTCATGACCTTTCTTGCCACAGTGGTTAAGGGGAGCATTGCAAGTTGTTAAGTGAGGAACACGGTTGTTAAGTGAATCTGGCTTCCCTTCATTGACTTTGCTTGTCGCAAAAGGGGATCGCGTAACCCCCGGGACGCTGCGACCGTCATAAGTATGAGTTAGTTGCCAAGCATCTGAATTTTATTCACATGGCCACGGAGAGGCTGCAAGGGTCGAAAGTGTAAAAAATGATCCTGAGTGTTTTTACAATGCTGTTGTAACTTCTAAGGGTCGCTAAACAAATGATTGTAAGTCAAAGATTCTCTGTGTCGGATGCCTCCAAACCTGCCAGAATAAATTCCTTGCGTGTCCAATCACACTTGGCCAATAAAGAATTCTATTCTATTCTATTCTATTCTATTCTATTCTATTCTATTCTATTCTATTCTATTCTATTTCTATTTCTATTCTATTCCTTATTCTATTCTAATACTTATTCTATTCTATTCTTAGTCTAGTCTAGTCTAATTTAGTATATTCTAGTTATATTCTGTTCTCTTCGAATTCTATTCTATTCTATTTTCTACTAGTCTAGTCTATTCTATATTCTATTCTAGTCTAGTCTATTCTAGTCTATTTTCTATATTCTATTTATTTTATTCTGTTCTGTTCTAATTCTAGTCTATTCTAGTCTATTTTCTATATAGTATTTATTCTGTTCTAATTCTATTCTAGTCTATTTTCTATATTCTATTGTATTCTATTTTATTCATATTCCATTCCATTCTATATCCTATTGTCTATTCTAGTCTAGTCTATATACTATATCCTATTCTATTCTATATTCTATTCTATATTCTATTCTATATTCTATTCTATATTCTATATTCTATTCTATTCTATATCCTATATCCTATTCTATTCTATATTCTATTCTATATTCTATATTCTATATTCTATATTCTATATTCTATATTCTATATTCTATATTCTATTCTATTCTATTCTATTCTATTCTATTCTATTCTATTCTATTCTATTCTATTCCATTCCATTCCACTCCACTCCACTCCTTTCCATTCCATTCTCTTCCCTTCCCTTCTAAGCTGTATGATGAATAGAAGGCAGCTTCTGAAAATTGGGACAGAAAAGGCTGGAAAATTCTGCCCAGAATTCTTACCTGTGTAGAATTTCCTGATATACTGCTTGTTCTCCAGCAGAGGCTTCAGCTGAGCTGAAAGGCAGTGGAATTGCAAGCTGTGCTGAAGCCAGAGCTCGGCGACCGTTCGCTCTCTGGCCTTGTCGGGATTCTGCTGCCCGTTCTCGTGAAGGTGGAGGAACTGCAAAGGAGGAACAAGGTTTCAAGGAAAAGCAGGTCAAGGTCAGGGGAAACAGAGCACCCATGACAGAGTTGGAAGGGACCCTGGAGGTCTTCTAGTCCAACCCCCTGCTCAGGCGGGAAAAACTATACCATTTCAGACAAGTGGCTGTCCAGTCTCTTCTTAAAAACCTCCAGTGTTGGAGCATTCACAGCTTCTGGAGGCAAGGAGTTCCACCGGTTAATTGTTCTCACTGTCAGGAATTTTCTCCTTAATTCCAGGTTGCTTCTCTCCTTGATGAGTTTCCATCCGTTGCTTCTTTTCCTGCCTTCAGGCGCTTTGGAGGATAGTTTGACACCTCCCCCCTCTTCTCTGTGGCAGCCCCTCAAATGCTGGAATACTGCTATAATGTACCCCCTAATCTTTCTTTTCTCTAGACTAGACAGGCTCTATTCCTGCAACTGTTAACATCATAACAATCGGAAGGGACCATCTAGAGGTCTTCTAGTCCAGCCCCCTGCTCAAGCAGAAGACTCTATACCACAGGTCTTCAAACTTGGCCCTTTTATGACTCGTGGACTTCAACTCCCAGAATTCCTCAGCCATCATGGCTCAGCTTGGAAACCTCTCCCTTTCCCCTAAGCATGGCTGGCTCAGGAATTCTGGAAGTTGAAGCCCACGAGTCATAAAAGGGCCAAGTTTGAAAACCCCTGCTCTATCCCATTTCAGACAAATGGCTGTCCAGTCTCTTCTTAAAAGCCTCCAGCAATGGAGCACCCACAACTGGTGGCAGGTTGTTCCACTGGTTGATTGTCCTCACAGTTAGGAGGTTTCTCCTTTCATTCCAGGTTGCTTCTCTCCTTGATGAGTTTCCATCCGTTGCTTCTCGTCCTGCCTTCAGACGCTTTGGAGAAGAGCTTGACTCCCTCTTCTTTGGGGCAGCCCCTCAGATCTTGGCAGACTGCTATCCTGTCACCCCTGGTCCTTCTCTTCATGAAACGAGACATACCTTCTCCACATGATGGGCCGCGTGGGGGCTCAGCCTATGCACATCCTTCACAAATTGCCAGTAGTCCGTCTTCTGGCAATGCACCTGAAGAGAAACAGAGGCAGAGTTCAAATTCCTCCAGTGCTAGTAGCTGCAAGTAGCCTCCCACTTGCGGCCGAAACCCAACCAGGCGGAAAAACAGGAAGAAAACTAACGGGTTTGCAGCTGCTGAATATAAATGGTAAAAGGAGAAACAATTGCCAGCAGCAAAAGCAAAAAAAGTGTCTTCTTGTTCCTGCTTGAAAATCAGCTAGGCCAGGGGTAGGCAACCTTGGCTCTTTTATGACTCGTGGACTTCAACTCCCAGAATTCCTGAGCCAGCCATGCTGAGGAGAAAAGAGGTTTCCAAGCTGAGCCAGGCGGGCTCAGGAATTCTGGGAGTTGAAGTCCACCAGTCATAAAAGAGCCAAGGTTGCTGACCCCTGCTCTAGGCCGCTTTATGACTCGTGGACTTCAACTCCGTTTTAAGGACTCGGTCGGTGCGACTCGGGAAAGAGAGGTTTCCAAGCTGAGCCATGCTGGTTGAGGAATTCTGGGAGTTGAAGTCCAAAAGTCATGAAGGGGCCATGGTTCCCCCACGCTGGCTGAGGAATTCTGGGAGTTGAAGTCTGCAAGTCACGAAGGGGCCAAGGTTCCTCCATGCTGGCTGAGGAATTCTGGGAGTTGAAGTCCACGAGTCATGAAGGGGCCATAGTTCTCCCATGCTGGCTCAGGAATTCTGGGAGTTGAAGTCCACGAGTCATGAAGGGGCGATAGTTCCCTCATGATGGCTCAGGAATTCTGGGAGTTGAAGTCCGCAAGTCATAAAAGAACCAAGGTTGCCTATCCCTGAGCTAGGCAAATCTTAAAGAAGGTGACAATTACAGGCAGTCCTCAACTTACAACAGTTCGTTTAGTGACCGTTCAAAGTTACAACAGCACTGAAAAAAGGGACTTACGACTGTTTTTCACACAATCATTTGCAGCATCTCTGTGGTCACGTGATCCAAATTCAGACGCTTCATATTTATGACGATCGCAGCGTCCCTGGGGAGGGTGTCACGTGATCCCCTTTTGCGACCTTCTGACAAGCAAAGTCAATGGGGGAAGCCAGATTCGCTTAACGACCGTGTGACTAACTTAACAAGCGGAGTGATTCGCGTGACAACTGTGGCACGAAAGGTCGTAAAACGGGGCAAAAGTCAATTACCAAATGTCTCACTTGGCAACAGGAGACAATGAATTCTAGTTTCGCTTTAGGAACCCAGCTGGGTGACTCTGGGCCGATCACCAGGAGACGGTGAGTTCTAGTCTTGCCTTAGGCATGAAAGCCGGCTAGGTGACTTTGGGCCAATCACCAGGAGATGGGGAGTTCTAGTCCTGCCTTAGGCATGAAAGCCGGCTAGGTGACTTTGGGCCAATCACCAGGAGACGGTGAGTTCTAGTCCTGCCTTAGGCATGAAAGCCGGCTAGGTGACTTTGGGCCAATCACCAGGAGATGGGGAGTTCTAGTCCTGCCTTAGGCATGAAAGCCGGCTAGGTGACTTTGGGCCAATCACCAGGAGACGGTGAGTTCTAGTGGGCCAGTCACCAGGAGATGGTGAGTTCTAGTCCTGCCTTAGGCATGAGAGCCGGCTGGGTGACTTTGGGCCAATCACCAGGAGACGGTGAGTTCTAGTCCTGCCTTAGGCATGAAAGGCGGCTGAGTGACTTTGGGCCAATCATCAGGAGACGGTGAGTTCTAGTCCCACTTTAGGCATGAAAGCTGGCTGGGTGACATTGGGCCATTCCCTGATTCTCAATCCAACCCACCTCACAGGGTTGTTGTTGAGGGGCATATAGGAGGAGGAAGGTATGTTGGACATATTCACCGCCTGGAGTTATTTCTAAAAATAATACAAACAAACAAACGGGATACAAACAAATGACAACATCCTAAAACAACACATCCAGTTTCCTTTGCTGCCCCAAAGTGCAGCCACTGCCAAGCACAGAGAACCCTACCTTGTCTAGGATGAGGCCATGATACAGGATGCTGTGCATGTCCCTGCAGAGCCGCTCCAAGCCGCCGTATTTCGACCAGACGTTGGGATGGTTGATGGAGACTAAGCCTTCCACCGTAGCCTTCAGGTTCCCCAACAGCGTCCAGTGTTCTCTCCTGAAACATGAAGACGAGTCTCAGCCAGCCCAGCTGGAATAGGATCCCCTTAGGACAGAGGTAGGCCACCTTGGCTCTTTTATGACTCGTGGACTTCAACTCCCAGAATTCCTGAGCCAGCCATGCTGAGGGGAAAGGGGGAGGTTTCCATGCTGAGCCATGCTGGCTCAGGAATTCTGGGAGTTGAAGTCCGCCAGTCATGAAGGGGCCATAGTTCCCCCATGCTGGCTCAGGAATGCTGGGAGTTGAAATCCACCAGTCATGAAGGGGGCCATAGTTCCCCCTTGCTGGCTCAGGAATTCTGGGAGTTGAAGTCCACGAGTCATGAAGGGGCCATAGTTTCCCCCATGCTGGCTCAGGAATTCTGGGAGTTGCAGTCCACCTGTCATAAAAGAGCCAAGGTTGCCTACCCCTGCCTTAGGAAAACAATCCAACCAATGGAACCCATTAAAGTGAACAAGATCATACATTCAATTTCGCAGCTACTAAGATTGTCGGCTGAGCAGGTACAAAAATAGCCAGGGAAATGGGCCAATGGTCGATCAACAGTACTGATTTACCACCAGCTTATCAGGTACAGATAGTCCTCGATTTACAAACAGTTCATTTAGTGACCGTTCGAAGCTACAACAGCCCTGAAACAAGTGACTCGTGACCACATTTCACACTGACGGCCCTTGCAGCATCAAAATTCGAACGCTTGGCAACTGGTTCGTACTGAGGACGGTTGCCATGTGCTGGGGAGTCACGCAATCGATTCCCTTTTGCGATCTTCTGATGAGCAAAGTCCACGGGGGGGGGGAGATGAATTCGCTTAACAACCGGGCGACTCCCTTAATGACTGCGGTGATTCAAATGTGGCAAGAAGAGTCGTAAAAATGGGGCGAAACTCACTTCACCAATTTCTCAAGCAACATAAATTCGGGGTTCAGTTGTGGTCGTTAAGTCGAGGACTGCCTGTCATTTGTTCCTATCAATGTCCTTGGAGCTTCTTGAGTAATATAAGGGTTTCCTTCCTTCACTAGGTAGGTTAACGAGAGGGTTAAAAAACGGAGCAAGAATAGCATAAATTAAAGGGAATCACAATCTATGCATTTGTGTGGCTCTTTTCTGTTTTGAAATGAGTTGCTTTTATCCTCCATTTTAAGCAGGTTGGACCGCCTTTCATTTCCAAGAGCGGGCAAGATGCACTTGACATAAAAGCCTAGAAAAGCAGCATAAGGCAAATAGCAAAACTACCCCCCAAACTTCAGAAAAAGCCATTAAATAGGCATTCAAAGTAAGCAGTTAGTTAGTACCTGGTGGTCAAAGCCAGGGGTCTTCAAACTTGGCCCTTTGATGACTTGTGGACTTCAACTCCCAGAATTCCTCAGCCAGGCACACTGGCTGAGGAATTCTGGGAGTTGAAGTCCACAAGTTGTGAGGTGGCCAAGATTGAAGACCCCTAGTCTTAAAGTTGCCACGGTTGGAAGACCCCTGGTCAAAGCAGTTCAAAGGTAAGCAGGTGTGCCTCACCTGGGCCAGTCAAATTCTGCCGCCTCGTCAGAATTCGACTGATAAGGGGAGACTTTAATCTGGACAAACATGGTAAGTAGGCCACACCTGCAAAAGGTTGTGCATTGGGTGGGTGTGTTTCCTGGTTGCCAAATAGGTAGGCTTAATGACATGGACTTTACACTCAGGGTTGTCTTCTGAAGATATTCCTGCCAGGGGCGCAAAGTCACACGTGGCAGAATGGACATATTATTATGGGTGGCTCTCATGAACACCAATTAGACTTTGCTTCGGTGACAGTTAGCCTTTGCAAGTAGAGCCGACAGAACACGTGACCAGAGTTTAGGGGACTGGATGCTAGAACATACGAAGAGCGGTTACAGGAACTGGGCATGGCTAGTCTAGTGAGAGAGGGCTCTCTCCATGCCATAGGTTCTATTCTATTCTATTCTATTCTATTCTATTCTATTCTTTCTCTATTCTATTCTATTCGATTTTTCTATTCTATTCTATTTTTTCTCTATTCCATTCTATTCATTTTTCTATTCTATTCTATTCCATTCTATTCATTTTTCTATTCTATTTTCTCTATTCTATTCTATTCTATTTTTCTATTCTATTCTATTCTATTCTATTCTTTCCTTTCTCTATTCTATTCTATTCGATTTTTCTATTCTATTCTATTCTTTCTCTATTCTATTCATTTTTTCTATTCTATTCTATTCTTCAATCCTCTAATATTCTATTGTATTCTATTCTTTCTCTATTCCATATTAATTTTTCTATTCATTTTTCTATTCTATTCTAGTCTTTCTCTATTCTTTCTCTATTCTATTCTATTCATTTTTTCTATTCTATTCTGTTCTTCAATCCTCTAATATTCTATTCTATTCTATTCTATTCTTTCTCTACTCCATTCTATTCATTTTTCTATTCTATTTTCTGTATTCTATTCTATTCTTTCTCTATTCCATTCTATTCATTTTTCTATTCTATTCTATTCTATTCTTCAATCCTCTAATATTCTATTCTATTCTTTCTCTATTCCATTCTATTCATTTTTCTATTCTATTTTCTGTATTCTATTCTATTCTATTCTTTCTCTATTCCATTCTATTCATTTTTCTATTCTATTCTATTCTTTCTCTATTCTATTTTATTCATTTTTTCTATTCTATTCTTCAATCCTCTAATATTCTATTCTATATTCTATTCTATTCTATTCTATTCTATTCTATTCTGTTCTGTTCTGATACCAAAAAGGAATCCCTACAGCGGCAAGAATAATATTTGCGCAACATTGGAAAAATGTAGGGATACCATAGGATGAAGAAATACTTAAAAGAAATACTAGAACGCGCAGAGATGGACAGATTTGACTAAGAGACTGAAAGAAAAAGAAGAAACGGAATATGATCAAACTTGGGACCTATTTTACCGATGGTTAGAGGAAAGAATAAAGGATGAGGAATTAAATATGTATTAGCGTATTTAAAACCAGACAGCACGCTGGTTGAAAAATTATTATTGTATATATGGAAAAAATCAATAAAATCTTATTTTAAAAAAAAGGGAATGCCTTGAAGAAAAACGACTTCAAGTCAGCGCTTGCAAAAGCCCAAATAAAGTGCATTTAAAACATGTGCAACTTTTTAGGTGTCCTTTAACTGATCCATCCACCCAGCCTAGCCGAGAAGACTTCCGCGCCCAAAGTGGGCGTCTTCCCACGCTCTGCCATCCATGGCCTTCTCAATCAGCTGCCTGCCGAAGCTCACAGCTGGTTCCTTCTCCATCCAAAACATTGCATCACAAGCACACAACGAGGCTTTTCACAATAGAGGCCGGAGGAGTGATTTCCAGCGATTGCACCAGGGTGTCCCAATTGTTGTGACTCTTTACTCTTTACTTAAATGAAGAAGCAATGGAGCCCTTGAACCTGGAAATCTGTCTTTTGATCTAGCGGCCCGCAACGTTTCGGGCACGGGGGGACCCGTTACGTGGAGAAAGGTTTTCCCGCGGACCGGAGGAGACGTGGTTTCGCGTACTGCCAGTTGCCAAGTGTCTGGATTTTGATCACGTGAACCACAGGGATGCCGCAATGATTGTGTGAAAAACAATCGTAACGTCACTTTTATCCAGTTTCGTTGTAACTTCGGTCACTGAATGAATGAACCGTTGTTAAGTTGAGAGCTATTGTCTGTCTTGGTCTGACA